AATTTTCTTCCTTAACAATGAAAGACAAAAAGCCAGACATTTTTCCTTCCCTACATGGGGGAAAAAAAAAGGCGGGAAACTAAAATGAATTCCTTTATCAGGAAATACCAATAGAATACACACAGAAAACACTGCTGGATTCAGATCCCCAGACTGGCCAGCTGCCCCCACCGCCCCACCGTGCCCCCCCCAAAAAGTGCTGCTGAATAATTAAACCAACCCAGTGGCATATGCTGTGAGATTTAGTACTGTAATAACTCATTCCTTTACATATACCAAATCCTATACCATCAGTACATACCATATCTTATAAAAAAATTAAAATCCTGGATTATTTAAATCACATTTCTTCACACTTTTAATAGCTATTTATAAATAACTCTGGGGGAGTCAATCTGGGGCCTGCATTTGCTACCACATCTGTTAAAAGTTAACAAACAAACATGTATGGAGCCATCGCACAGAAAATCTGATAACTATACAGATCCTGTCGGCAGGAACCATCTATTTTGATGTGTGTGACTGTTTGTGGTTGCACTGTACAACTAACAAATGCAATCAATACCAGGAACAGTCACATAGGTCTAACTAAAGTCCTATATCCAGGATCTGTACTCTGAGTGAAATATAAACTTTCATTATCAAATTATTCCGGCTAATTTCCCGAAGATTAATGGTATACATGTATATGACCACTATATCTTAAACATACTTTTATCAACATGCACTATAAAGGATCAGAGTTCTCAAAAGATCATATTCAGGTGGGCTGGTTGATTCAGTTGGTTACAGCATGGTGCTGATGACACCAATGTCCAGGATTCAATCCTTATACCAGCCAGTTGCCTTCCCTCACCATCCTCCAAAAAATAGCTCATACTCTATGGCTAATATAATTTTTCCAACATCTCTAATGGCATTGCAGCCATGTCTTTAAGAAATAAGTTCCACACACAACATTCTAGATGCACCAAGGCATTTTAACTCATTTACTATACATTAATTATATACACAATATAGACTAAGAATCCAGTCCTGTAGTACTGCCTATTCATTTGTAAAAGCAAAATAATTATAAAGTAGATAAACCTATATTCTTACCATTATTGCTAACAAAATCTTCGTGTATAATAGGGAGATCAAGTCGAATTCGTTTTAAACAGGTCTGAAAATAAAAAAGATTTTTTTTACATTTTTGCCAATAATCCTAGAGGGGAAATAGTCATTTATTCAATTCTTAGTTTCAAATAACTATTAATTTTCCCTCTACTAGGACAGATTTCAAAATGAAGATCCCAAACAGCAATTTAGCCTCAACTAAATCTATCCTAGTAATATTTAGGATTATAAATTTTATTGATTATAATCTCAATGCTTACCTGAACTTCCTTTTTATTTCCCAGATATTCAACTCTGTCAATAAAATCCTCAAATTGTAGTTTAGGGAATAGCCTATGTGCCCAGTGCTCCATGTGTCTGATTAGCGTCTTCAAGTCTTCAGCCTAGCACATAAAAATAAAAATGCTAAACAGAAGACTCATTCTCACAACTGACCCTGTCAGCAGATTTCAGAATTGAAAAGCAATGCCAAAGTCACTGGTGTCATTTTATATTCATAAGGATGAAGAACTTTTAGTAGGAAGTTTAAGGAGAAAAATATTTATTAAGGACTTAGAAGACTGCAGTCTAAAAGAGTACAAGATACAGATTTTGAAAATTCAGAAGAAAAAAAANAGCGCCAGCCGCGCTTCCCAAGCGGCGCACTATCCAGTGCGCCACCGGGCCGGCCCATAGTAAGTATGTTTTATATATAGATTTGGTTTCTCTAATTTAGTTTTTATGGCCTTTTAAATGTATATACACAATCTCAAGTTTCTCCACACAAACTACGTATTAATAGCAAAGGGAAAAAGAGTAACTTTAAATTGGAGAAACCTGGGGCCGGCCTGTGGCTCCCTCGGGAGAGTATGGTGCTGATAACACCAAGGCCATGGGTTTGGATCCCTATATAGGGATGGCCGGTTAGCTCACTGGGTGAGCATGGTGCTGACAACACCAAGTCAAGGGTTTGGATCTCCTAACCCGCCAGCAACAACAATAAAATTGCAAAATACAGGGCTAGCCCATGGCTCACTCAGGAGATTGTGGTGCTGTTAACACCAAGGCTACAGATTCAGATCCTATATAGGGATGGCCGGTTCGCTCACTGGCTGAGCGTGGTGCTGACAACACCAAGCCAAGGGTTGAGATCCCCTTACCGGTCATCTTTTAAAAACAAACAAACGGCCTGGCCCGTGGCTCACTCGGTAGAGTGTGGTGCTAATAACACCAAGGCCCCGGGTTCGGATCCCACATAGGGATGGCCGGTTCGCTCACTGGCTGAGCGTGGTGCTGACAACACCAAGTCAAGGGTTAAGATCCCCTTACTGGTCATCTTTAAAAAAACAAACAAACAAACAAACAAACAAAAACATTATTCAAGCTGGGCTATGAAATGGAAAAAGTAGACTCAGCCTTTAACTGTTGGCATTGGTCACTTAAAACTCTGAAACTGTTACCTTAACTGGATCGTGTGACCAGCACCTACAGGTTGAAAATTGAAGGAAAATATATTTGGAACACTTCATAAACTGCAAAGCTCTATAAAAATACACTATCATCTATATAAAAAATTATAACTACATAATTCAAAGATAAAGAATTTTAGGGGCCAGCCCGTGGCTCACTTGGGAGAGTGTGGTGTTCATAACACCAAGGCCATGGGTTCCGATCCCTATATAGGGATGGCCGGTCAGCTCACTGGGTGAGCATGGTGCTGACAACACCAAGTCAAGGGTTAAGATCCCTTTACTGGTCATCTTTAAAAAAAAAAAAAAAAAAGAATTTTAAAATGTACATTTGTATAGTGACTGACAGTTGTTTTTTTTTGGTTTTTTTTTGTCTTTTTCGTGACCGGTAAGGGGATCGCAACCCTTGGTGTGGTGTTGGCCCGTGACTGACAGTTATTAAATGTCTTCATTTTTCGGGGCCAGCTCGTGGCTCACTCAGGAGAGTGCAGTGCTGATAACACCAAGGCCATGGGTTCGGATCCCTATATAGGGATGGCCGGTCAGCTCACTGGGTGAGCATGGTGCTGACAACACCAAGTCAAGGGTTAAGATCCCCTTACCAGTCATCTTATAAAAAATTTTTTTTAAGTCTTCATTTTTCAACAAAACTTTACTGATGCCTATTATGAACCAGGTACTGTGCCTTATCTTGGGGACACATTAAGTCATCAACACATGAACAGTCCTTGCCCTCCTGAATCAAAATCACTCTTTGAGGCAGACAAAGTAAGTTTTATTCCCCTAAATTATAAAGTACAAACTCAGGCTGAGACACTCAGATGTGATTTTCCTAAAGCCATAGTTCATACAGTGGCAAAAATGAGACCACACAAGACATGCTTTCTAATTTTCAAACAGTGCTCTTTCCATTACATCACAATTGTCTCTCAAGAAATATGCTGTTTAATGACAGTGTCTGTGAAGCATTCTGAGATTCCCTAGAACATGATAACAGGCTCACGGTTTCATGTCTATTTTAAAAAATGAAAATCTAAAATAAAAATCAGACATTTCTTACCTCATGACCTTTACCTTTGAATTTTGCCTTATCAAACACATGTCTCAAGGCTGGAAGCCCTCTCTCTGAAATTAATCTGTGAATAGAAAATATGTTCTGAATTTCAAGTTTTTTAGAGTCAAGTCCAAACCAAGACTATAAGAAGAAAAAATATCTTCTGCTAAACTGAAAAAAAGTTTTTAGATATATCTGATCTCTAAATCATCTCAATCAAAAGCTTACAAAATTAGAAGAAAAACTATAAATGTAAAGAAAAAGTATAAATGTACAAGGAAATAGTAAATGTACCTCTGAGCATCCAGCTTGGGTATATTCCTTTTAACTGTTCTCTTTGGAGGTACAGGAACAGGTGCTCCACTCCCTAACTCTGGTGAAATATACCAAGATTTAGTACTACTTAAATAATTTAACCCTTATTTATAAATGTATAATTTCTTTTTATTTTTTATTTTTTATTTTTTAAAAGATGACCGATAAGGGGATCTCAACCCTTGGCTTGGTTTTGTCAGCACCACGCTCAGCCAGTGAGCAAACCGGCCATCCCTATATAGGATCCGAACCCGTGGCCTTGGTGTTATCAGCACCACACTCTACCGAGTGAGCCACAGGCCGGCCTATAAATGTATAATTTCTAAGCTGATAGATGGATAACTGAACATGGAAGACTTTTTTTTTGAAACTCTCTAGACAAACCTTCATCAGGTTCAACTCTTTCACCATGTGGAGAGGCTGGAGGTGGGAAAGGAGGAAAAGTTTCATCTTCTACATGCTCATAATCTGGTAGGTCAATCAAGCCATTCTCCTGTGGTTCTAGCATCTTTTCCTCTGGGAGAAAAAAAGTAAAATTATTTTTATTCATCCGAGTAGTATTCCTGGGCTGGCCAGTTAGCTTAGTTGGTTAGAGCACAACCTTTAACACCAAGGTCACAAGTTTGGATCTCTGCACCAGCCAGCCACCAAAAAAAAAAAAAAAAAAAAAANGCTGACAACACCAAGTCAAGGGTTAAGATCCCGTTACCGGTCATCTTTAAAAAAAAAAAAGTATACAATTCAGTGGCATTAATTACATTCAAAATGTTTTGTAACCATAGGCACTATATTTCCAAAATTTTCATCACTCCAAACAGAAACCTTTTATTGATTAAACAATAACTTCCCACTTCCCCCCTCTCCCGGAACCTCTAATCTACTTTCTGTTTCTATGAATTTGCCGATTCTAGATATTTCATATAAGTGGTCATATTATGTTTTTTGGTGTCTGGTTTATTTCATTTAGCATGTTTTCAGGGTTCATTTATGTTGTTGCATATATCAGAATATCACTCCTTAAATAAATCCTGAAGATAGCATCATTTGAGACACCTATAGAATATTATATGCTGAGGCATAAGCTTAGGGTCTGGTTTGTTTGAACAGTAAGTATGTTTTATATATAGATTTGGTTTCTCTAATTTAGTTTTTATGGCCTTTTAAACGTATATACACAATCTCAAGTTTCTCCACACAAACTACGTATTAATAGCAAAGGGAAAAAGAGTAACTTTCAATTGGAGAAACCTGGGGCCGGCCTGTGGCTCCCTCGGGAGAGTATGGTGCTGATAACACCAAGGCCATGGGTTTGGATCCCTATATAGGGATGGCCGGTTAGCTCACTGGGTGAGCATGGTGCTGACAACACCAAGTCAAGGGTTTGGATCTCCTAACCCGCCAGCAACAACAATAAAATTGCAAAATACAGGGCTAGCCCATGGCTCACTCAGGAGATTGTGGTGCTGTTAACACCAAGGCTACAGATTCAGATCCTATATAGGGATGGCCGGTTCGCGCACTGGCTGAGCGTGGTGCTGACAAAACCAAGCCAAGGGTTGAGATCCCCTTACCGGTCATCTTTTAAAAACAAACAAACGGCCTGGCCCGTGGCTCACTCGGTAGAGTGTGGTGCTGATAACACCAAGGCCATGGGTTTGGATCCCTATATAGGGATGGCCGATTAGCTCACTGGGTGAGCATGGTGCTGACAACACCAAGTCAAGGGTTTGGATCTCCTAACCCGCCAGCAACAACAATAAAATTGCAAAATACAGGGCTAGCCCATGGCTCACTCAGGAGATTGTGGTGCTGTTAACACCAAGGCTACAGATTCAGATCCTATA